TAGAAATAATAATGCTATATCACTTCTCTTGTCGTAATCGATCTGATCTCATAATCTGTCATCTGTCTTGTTATAATACGCATAGCAATGAAGATTTCCACTTTCTCGCGATTGCTGCTGATGACTGATTGATTGTTGGTTCAAACTACTTGAAAGTTTGGGAATGAATTATTCCGTTTGCTTATATGACTCTTATTATTTTTGTAGACTTTCATATGTCGTAATGTCGGTGTTGTCACCACCGGATGTTAGAAAACTCGTTGAAGCTCTCCTCAGTGATTTACGACAACTCTCCACGGAAGCCAAAAAGAAGCATAATCATGTGAAAGAGGTGGGTGGTTCAGTAACTATGCACCAGTGTTTTCCTACATGGATTGGGAAGTCATTCAGTTACAACATTTGATCTCACTCTGTAACTACGCGTAAGGGATGGATAGGCATATTCGATGTGGAGGTGCTGTTAAAATAAAGTTCAATTTATTTCCATTTGTTCCAATTTGTCTTAGTTTTTAATTAATATTATTCCTCTCAATTTTTCTCGAAGCACTCACTCATGTCATCATTTTACATTCATATATGCAAGCACGGTAGCTAACGCGGCGTTTGTATTCAGATGCAGTTTTCTTGATTATTCTGAATGAGGTTATCATTTTCATATTCTATAAATGTCACGTCTTATATGCTTAACCAGTTCAGTGATTTAGGCAGCTGAATCAGGTGTCGTTCGTGTTCGAAATATAAGCACAGCATCTGGAGAAGCAACACTTCTCACAAATCTGCGAGCAGCCAGCAATGAATTGCTTCATCCTCTCATTCTTGCCTGTGCTACTCGACAAACGCGACTTGTTCAGATAGCCTTGCAGAGCATACAACGTTTAGTTCAACATCGTATTCTAGAAGCGGTGAGAATCTATAGTTTTTTTTCTGTTCAATTTCCACAACATGTGACGGCAACAGCTAACTTCCTTTTTCATGTCGCCCAAGATTAGTGTTTAAATTTTAGAGTTGCGCAAATGTTGTTGTCAGCGAATTGTGGGGTCTAGTTGAAGTGGAATGTGAGGAGCTTCGAGTTTTGCAAACTGTTCCTCCACTGGTCTCCGCTGATCTGCTTGTCACGGGGAACACTCTTGCAAAGGTTTGTTAAGTTTCAACGAGGCTTATACCACCAATGTTTTGGAATTTGTCACGGTGAGAACTGATCCAACAACAAATGATTGTAGAGCAGATTCAGTTGCCCTTATATCCATTTTTGACAAATGCAATCATGTTGTCGAATTTTTTTTACTAAAATCGTGTATAGCCCTGCCCTAAGGAAGTTAAGTGGCTAGTTGGGTCCCTAAAATATTTTTTTTTCGAATTTTCTCCTTGTTTTTTGTATTTCTTTCCACCACTTCTTTGCGTTTCCGTCAGCTATTACTTGCTTGTTCTAGTGCATTGTAATGTGTTTTCGTATGCACTTTGCCAAGGATCCTGTAGTTATCAATGCGGCTTCAGCTGCAGTGCGACAGCTGGTGGGATGTGTCTTCGAGCGTGTCATACAAGTGAGTCTTTTATTTTTACGTTGCCATAGTCTCAATGCAACTCAGATGTAAACTTTCACGCTCATGGATGTGCGTGCGATAATCTTGGATTTAGGAGGATGGTGTGTTTAGCACCGAGTTGACAGTAGTACCTTCTTCTGGAGGACGTCCATCGCCAAGATCGTCGCCGCCAACCGCAACTGAGACCGATGTGCAGCTTGACGCCACCTTGCTGTTTAAGGTATTTGCATACCAAATTCTCGATCCGCGGCAGTTGATAGATTACATTGCAGGATCTTTGCTTGCTGATTAACGCAAAGCCAAGTGTATGGCTAGTAGGAATTCACGAAATGACAAGGACTCTTGGATTAGAACTTCATAGAGAATATCCTGAAAAGTTATCCAGGAGTATTTTTCAGAGTAAGAGGCTAATATTTTTCGTCGATTTTATGATATGTAATACATTGATTTTGGTTCTTAATTTGAGCATTTTTTAGCACCCAGAGTTCTGTGATCTTCTGAAGTCCGAAGTGTGCCCACTAGTAATCAAGTTGTTCTCTCCAAGTTTGAAATCAGCCCACGTACGTTTATTGGCTAATTTTTTGTGTTTTTGTTTTGCTGCAGTTTTGATTTTTTTCTTTTATCTAAGGACGTTTCGCTTATACGCCATACATGTAATGGAATTATTGCTTCATATACGACATGAACACTAATTGTTCCCATGATTGGTTGATGTTCAGGTGTCATCTCAACATCCGTCATCTCGTTCATCCACCGGTGTGGGCTCTCCGACAGATCGACCGTACTTTCCCATTGCTATGCGACTTGTTCGAATAATTCTGTGCTTGATCTCACTCTATCATCAGTTGCTTGTAAGTGCTCCTTTCTGTGCACAATTTGCTTATGCCTGCTATCTCAGTTATTTTTTATGGATTTAGCCCACGGAATGTGAGATTTTTCTGTCATCCCTAATCAAGTTCGTGGATGTAGATCGCAGAGGATGGCAACGGGCGCTTTCTCTAGAAGCGCTTCATAGAGTTGTGGTGAGACCAGACATTGTCAGGTATGTTATGTCAGGCACTTGTGCTTCAATACTCGCTAATATTATAATATTCAAATATTTGCCTAGGTGGCTATGTGAAAATTTCGATGCAAGATCGAACTCTATCAAAGTTTTGGAACATCTGTCGCATAGTATTTTCTGTGTTATTCAGCAAAGTTTTGCGTCTTCAAAGATGAGTTCCGGTAAGATCGGCAATACTTATTACACACAAATAGGCCAATGTTGTTCAGGAGGAATTTGTATTTTCCTTTAAACATGATTTTTTTTCGTTTTCAGTAGAGGCTGATATGGACCCCGACATACTTCAACCAAGAGGATCGTCTGGATTCTATTTCAACAATGTTTGGCATCCATATGTTGAGCATTTGTCCGCGAAGAAATCCATTCTGTACGTTCATAAGACGCTTTATCCTAGATCTCTCTGCCCTTTTCACTCACTGACGAACACGCGCGTCGCCATCGCGCGTTTTAGCATTCGACCACATGGGACCGGTCGCTAAATTTGAAACGTTATAGAGCAAAACAGTTTCTGCCATGATCAATGTGCAGTAGATATCCAGTGGTTCAAAAGTAAAGTAAAAGGAGGTGAAAGCAGTGGGAGATTAGAATTCAATTTAAACTCTCGCAACGGTGGACGATAGAAGCATTTTGGCTTGTTTTAACAGAGCAGCATATCTTGTCATCCACTGAGCTCCGCGCTTATTTATGTTACTCTTTTTTCACAGGATGATAACAAAAAAATAAAACTAATAAAGCCAAAATTAAAATTTCAATGTGTCAGTGTCAATGTTATAGTATTCGTTTTCAGACTGGACAGCCTGGAAAGACACGAGGCGGGCGTTCTGCCGGAAGGATATGTAGTATCGCGAGCAAACTGCGCTCTGGTTGATTTTGTGCAAGCCGTCTACGCGGCTGTAGACGCACTTAGCTTACAAGGTGAGATATTCGTTTCATTGGTTAACATGTTCTTATGTGAGGTTCTTTCAGAAAACGGGGATAAGAATAACAACGAGCATGTTGCTGATTCGATTTTTACTAGTTGTCAACCGAATCTGCTGGCGGCATTGAGCCTTTTGTTATCAGCGAGGTATAGTAGGAATTCAGTTCTTTCATATTGTGAGCAATGTTAAAGCTCAAATTCCGGAAGAATGGCTTTACAAAGTGCGAATGTTTTGCTTCGGAGATATTGTGATGTGTTTTAAGCACTGACGAAACTGTGACGGATCAGCTTCTGTGTGCGCTGTCAACGCTAATGTCAGTTGGGTGCAAATTAAAAGTGATTCCTGCCAGTTTGAATTGTTTGTACGTTCTCTGCTGTGCTTGCCTACCATCTGTGACGTACTTGCGTTCGTATGCAGGAGCGGAGACGCCAACTAGTGAGCGTGAGTTCTTTTGAACTTCTCTTGATTTTAACAAAATTTTCATCTTTCCTCAAAAAGAGGCAGAGTTGGTGTAGTTTTGTGTGGCACCGCTCGCCATGAGCATTGGTCGTTGGACCAAGAAAACCTCCCACATCTCTGGCCAATTTTTGGTTGATCTGTCTGATTGTGAGAGTGAAAACGTTGATCTGTGGCAGCTCCCACATATCATTGCACAGGACAGGCCGCTCTAGCCATCCAAATTGAAATTCAAATATATCCTATGCAGAGGCACATGTCACAGGCAAAAGAATAGAACATTAATTCATGGTGTTTTGTATGTTTATCATGGAGTTCTGGTGATGGGTTGTCAGAAACAAATAGATTAATCCTGAAAATTACGTGCAGTCGTCACAGTCGTCAATTGTTGAAAGCCCATTTTATGCTATACAAGAAGAGGTCGTTATCGACAAAAGTGAGCGATAATTTGACCTTGCTTTCGGGCTTTTTTTTTGTTGTCTCTACGCACTTTGCCTTGAAAGGAGAGGTCCCTTTGTTGTTTAAGATCTACCTTATTAGGTAGTCATTTGCAAAAAAGGCGACTCAGCAGCAATTCATTTCAACGATCGCTGTACCGAAGTCTTATGCTGATTATGCCCTAAAAATTGCTAGTGAAAAAGTCGATTTTTACTTTTCGAAAGTAGCGCCTGAACCTACAACGCTGTTTTAGTGCACCCATTTATAGCGATTGAAATTAATCTTTCAAATAAGTCAGCATTTTGAGTAATATTTTTCATTATATGGGATTTCAGAGCTACTGCTGCCTAAACAATAGCCTTCGTTGCTCTTTTCTTCATTGAATTTTTTTTTAAATTCGCGTTTCTGAATTCAGCCATCTTTAATTTAGAACAACTGGAAGACTTCGTGTTTGATTCGTCTTCAGCACTGCACGAGGTTGTTGTTTCTGGCACCCCTTGCCCCTCGTCTGTCGTAGTGCCAGATAAATGGAATGATCAAGTTATGGTGAGTCCCTTCACTTCACGCAATGTTTTTTTCGTCATTCGTTTTGTGCTAGCAATGGAAGAAGCTCATTTTACAGTTGACGTCACGCAATCTGCAAGCATCATCCATTCTCCTCAGCTCCATCTGTGCCCACGCCACATACTTAGACGAACTCTGGTATGATTGCAAGAAAGTGTCTTATGATTTTTTTCTTGCTGTGTCAGTTTCTGCCTTTCTAGGCATTTGAGTCTGTTGACGTGCCAACATATTGCTTGGTTGCTCGGAATTCGGCCATCTTGCACGGGTATTTTTGCACGAGAAAAGGCAGAAGTGGATCAACAAAGTATGTTTCGTTATTGTGAAGTCTGTGCTTCGATGTAAAGGTTGCTTCACACAGTTGTAAAAGAAGGCGAAGCGGTACACCGATATTCGATTTCATCAAAGAAAATCTTCTCAGAATTATTCGAAGCGCTTCTGTTCTTTGAAGCTGATGATGAGCTAATCGTCAACAGAATCTGCAGTCTACTCAGAACTTCGTGACTGGTATTTTTTGCAGTGGTCAAGAATCTTCATTTCAGATAGTGCGAATGTGATAACAACGGCCGCCCTTTCTAAAATTCCGATTCTTGTAAGATTTTCATTTTTTATTGCCCTTGGTCGTTTTTTTAAACCTAACGTTTAAACCTTGCGAGCAATGCTCACTAGAAATTTTCAGGCATCTCTTCTGGATAAGGTTGCTTGTTCCTCCGTATCGCTATCGAATGCTTCACTTCTTAAAGCTATTGAAGCAATGATGAGGTGCGCAGCTTCGAAACTCCTTTTTTGATATATGTACAGCAGTATCCATTTTTTGTTTTGTTTTTGTTTTCTGTTTTTGTTTTGGTTTTTTTCTATCACTTCGTGGTCAGTTTGAACCGCAAAGGTATCAAGAAAATTTCAGTAGAAAAAGGAAAGGAACCAAATGAGCACTCCCTCAGCAGAATATGTATAAGAAATCCTCTAAAATTGTGTTTCTTCCCACCAGAACTGCTCTAAAGAGGGGGTAGCTGTAATGTAGATCTGTTAATATGTCACAAAAATATGCTGAAAATGGAAAAAATTACCATACCGCATGAAAAATTAATAAGTCATGGAGATTTCTTCACCATTTCCGACCGTGGAGCTGCATGAGGCTCTTACTCGACATCTTTTTACGTTTGACTGGGATCGGCCGCAATTGCTGTTCACTTTGAAGTTTAGCATTTTCGGGGGCTCTTTACGGCGATGGTGAACTTCTCCCGACCTCTACTTCTGAAAATTCCAGCGGTAGCGTATTTCTTGTTAGGATTTTTCTTTACTATGTTAAACTCTCCTTATCACTTGTTATTTTTTATGTATCTTTTGAGTTTAGTAACTGTAACATTTACAGAATATCGGACGAAAATGTTGCTGTGGCAGCGACTGGCAGAGAATGTTCGCTTTTCCCTTTGGCGATGCTGCTTCGATTTGCATCTCTTAATCTTCAGCGTCAACAAGTCTTTTGGGATCGCGTCACAGCACATTTCATCAAGGTACGTCGAGACGCCACTATTACTTTTTACTTTGACTATAGTACTAGGGCTAGACCGCACTGACTATGTGGCAGTCTGAGATTAGGTGTTTTTCAGGTCTGCGCGGTCATATATCACCATCACTGCGTGAGTGGGCAGCTGTCGCACTGTCAAGCATCATCAAGCAGGCGTTTAAGGCAAAGACTGGCTTATCAGAAGCGGTATGTCCGCTGCCTCTTAGCACACGAAACCTGCCAAGTTCTTCTTTTCCAGGAGCACCAGTCAATCACTCTCAAAAACTTTTACGGTTCGAATGTCTCAATTCATCAAGCGGACGTGCAACGACGTCAGCTTGACTGTTTGATGGCACTTCTACAAACAGATGGCGCCCAACTCGTGCCCGAGATGTGGCAGCATGTTATTTTCATAGTTGCTGCTGTCGTCGATGAAGAAAACTGGTATGTGTATGCCTCCAGAAGTTTATTAATCCATGGTAAGAGCAGTGAAGACGCAGACCACTTATTTTGCTTTAGAATAAGTGGGATACGTTAACGGTAACTTTGGGGTAGTTTTGGTTGATGCCTCACCTTGCAGTTTGATATTATGAATGCTAAATTCAATTGGTTGAGGTGTGTCGTAAGCTTAGGTCTCGCGGGGGAAGGCTGTAGTTGAATTATGCTGTCTCAATGAGAATTTTCGAGCTTTCGATCTAGTTTTTGATTTTCGCTCAGAACAATGTGCTTAGATGCGCTGCGATATCTCAAAAGCGCCCTTGAAATTCCCTGCATTTCCCTTTTCGCCGCATTTTTCGTGATACTGGAACTCACCCATTGTGACTACTCATAAACTTGATTTCACACTTTTTGAAAGTTATTCGCTGTCTGAGCCGTTTACGGTTCACGATTGCGATTTTGAGGATTAATTTCAATTTAAATCCGAAGTAATGATAATTAACTATTGAATAGCATTGATCTAAAAAATTCAAGCTGTTGACGAAGCATTGGTGCGGCAGGGCTATCTCGGTCTGAGACTGGTTGCTGCGGACTTTCTTCCGTCACTTCCATTTGAGTGTATTTCTGTGCTGGTTGAAGCCGTGGCACGATTATGGGAAACAAACAGCTGATCACAACATTTCGTTGTCAGCTCTTACTCAGTTGGTGGGTTAATTTTCAAGACGTCATTAGGTTTCTGTCACCTTTCTAATTGGTTTCTTTCTCGAGGACGATTTCCGACTTTGTGTTTCGCAAAAGCGAAGTCGTTGGTGCCGATCCCTCTGAAAAGGTAACCTTTCTCAATTTTCTTGGGCTCGATCACTTTTTTGTCTTGTCTTCTTCCATGAAAATTTTTAACGTACCTGGTCTTCAAACTACATTTCAGGTTTGGCTGGTTTTGTACACATGCCTTTCGGAATTATGCGTCGATGTTCGACCATCAGTTCGAAAAAGTGCCTGCCAAACTCTTCTTCAAACGGTTGCCTCTCACGGTCATGCTTTGCGGATCAGTACGTGGAATCATATGATATGGCAGGGTAAGGCGAAATGTCGCAAGGATGTAGCGGGAACTTACGACAGAAAAGTACTCTTCAATCAGTCGCTTGGGGCATTGGCACAATCACAAACATGTTTTCCAACTTGACTTGAATATGCTGAGTGATTTGAAGATTTCTTTTGCGTGGGCTACATATCAGTTACAGCGGAAGTAGTTTTACAAGCTACTGTCTCACCAGAGCTTGCTGTTCAGCATCTTTTTTCCGAGCAAGTAAGTGCAGGGTGTCATTAAAGTCCAGTGGCATGTGTGACTGAAGCTTTCACAATTTGGTGTTCGATTAATCATGCCCCTTCATGTTTTCCAGCACAGTAGTAGTTCGGCCGATGTTTCTGTATGCATTGAAATCCTGAGTCAAAGCACGTTTAAAGATCATCATGCCCTTGTTGGATCGGGTTCGGGTGCAGACCCGGAGTGCATCGACGGAGCGTGCAAGCGGAGTGCTTCTAATGCACCATTCTCGGGATACGCAGCAGAAGCAATGGACTGAAACCTGTATACACACACTATCGGCGGCATCAAAGATATTCGTTGCTCAGCGTAAGGCTCTGTTGGCCTTAGGTATGTTCAGAGGCGTTTCTAACTTGTATTAAAAGGGCCCTAAAAAGTAACGGCTGATATGGCTGAGGGAGTGAATTTGAATCGAATCCTGTTCAGAAGATTTTGGATCAGCATGGGAAGCGCTGTTGTCGTATCTCGAATGGGCCTCATGCTACCATAACGCGGAACTTTCGCTGTCTGCACTCAAAAGCTTTCAGGTCGTCAATTTTTTTCGGAAATTAGAATTGGTGTTATTTATTGGCTATTTAGGAAGTATTGCTTGGAAAAATATCTGCTCAAACGTTAGATATCAACTATCGTGAAGCGAGCGAGCAGGTACTGTACTGCCATTTTGTCCTATTGGGACTCTTTCATTATTTTGCTTTTGCTAATTATCTCAATTTCTTTGTTTTTTTCTACATTTTTTCGAACACTGAGACGCCATTTACAAACGTTTCTGGGATTTCTCATTAGTAGGCATTTGTTGAAAAGATTAACTGAAACATTTTTGAGTAACCAAATTTTTTTTATGGGGAAGAACGAGCGATAGGATAGGAAGAGGTTTGACAATTGAGTTCTTGACACTTTTATATGTTCAGTGTGGAAAGCTCTGGTGATGACGTGACGCCGTTTCTACCTTTGCCACAATGGATCGAGTCGTGGAATGTGAGTTCGGATGTACAAAAAAGTTGGCACGCAACCTGAAAATAATCCGTGCACGGTTCTTGCTGTAGTGTTACCTTCGAAACGTTCTTTCAAAGTTGGTCAGAATTGGGCTATATGGCTAGGAATGTTGCTTGATTTTCGATTAATGCGCATAAGATACACCTTATAAAATCCAATCAAAATTTATTTACTAGGGTGGATTGATCCATACTTTGACGAGCTTTAGCTAGCTGGAAGTAAAACATACTTTATGAAGAAGTAAGATTTAAGGCTTGGCAACGGATATCGCGAAGTTTAGCTCGGATGGGTACCGGTTCCACGACGACGGAAGGTAAAAATGAAATCTGCTCTTCATTTCAACCCTGGCTCTAATACCTTGTGTGAAGTTTCCTTGGACTATTTTTTTGGATTTATCAGGTGGTGAGAAATCGTCGTATGTTCCTGGTCCATCTCATCTCACAACCCTCCTTCATATTTTTCCACCATTGTTCGATCATGTGGCCGCCACATATCCGTCAACGAACTCAAAGCTGAACAGCTGCCGTCAGTTCTTGAGGTACTCGTTTTTACTGAATATCCTTTATTATGGAAAGTCTGTTATTTTCTCATTCCATTTTAGATCTGTTTAGAGTCTAGTGAACGTCCCGTGCCAACAGAGCAGGTGCCCTTCGTAGTGCACTCATCACAATCGCATATGTCCTCCCACTCAGGAAGCGGTACTCGAAGCCATTCGTTCCATCTATAATGTGGGTTTTGTTGTGGTGGAGTTCTAGTTTGACAATTTTTCAAAATGTGCTTGCGCTCTTTCCTACCAATTCTTATACGGGTAAGCGGTCTGATTAGCTTCAGCTTCTTCTGTGTTTTGAAATTCTTCAGCGGTAATATGTAGTTTGATTGACTAACCAAGTGCACCTTTCAGGAGTGCATTTCTCAAGGAAGTGCTCTACGAGATGCTTTAGCTGATCAAATCCGGCAGCTTATCAGGTTCAGCGCCATGTCTGTGAAAAATCCGGTTGGGATTCGACCGATCACCACTTTGTCCGGGCAGAAAGACTATGTATGTTCCGCTGAAATTTATTCTCACACAAAATGTCTCGCGGTCTAGAGTTGGCTAGGTCAGCGGTCAGTGTGAGCGACGAATGCAAATCGCGCTGAGAATTGCTGTTATAGGAGGAGCAATTCTTTGGGTTACTTGTCCCGATTCTTCCAACCTTTTCATTGCGCGCGCGATAAGAAGTTTTCGCTCAACCAGTAAGTGGACTAAAAATGACCTCTGTTGCAGTCCAATATTTCGATTTCTTAGCGTATTTATGGTAGTTATGCAGAATTCAAAAATTTTGAAGCTCAAATCTATTAATAACCGCTTGCTCTATAAAGTTTAGGGGTTAGCACTTATTCCTAGGTATTCTATTTTTCTTTATGGCTCTATAGAGATGTAATGTCTGCGGCTCAGGTGAGCGCGATCAAGAGGTTCATACTACTCTAGTGTTTGACATCCTGTTTTGCAGTTGGGTGTGAGAGTTTTGGAGGAATGAAATGTTTCTCAAGAATCTGGTGGCACTTTTTCAAAACGAAATTGATTGGTTACATGATTCTCATCGCGCTTGCGTTGTGGCGCACTCAGAAAGTCAGTTCTCACCATGGCAATTTCTCATAATTTGAACTTGTTTCAGCGAGAATGGGCGTTGCAATGGGTAATTCCATTTGCGGAGACATCGCTTCGAATGGCCGTCGAGTTTTTCACGGCTACGGTTGCATATCCAGAAATTATTCGATCACTTGTTGTCGTGGATATTGTTAAGGTAATGTTTTGATATAGAGGCAGAACAAAGACCAGAATAGTCCTTGAGCTCACAAATCTCTAATCAAAAGCTCTTCTTTGCTACTCTTTCTCTCAGTCATCTAAAAATCGCCTGTTTCAGTTCTTAGGCGAGCCCCTGTACATGAAGTACTCATGCCTTTCTCCAACCACGTGGAAACTTGCGGCTTCATCGCTGATGACTGTGCTACGGATAGCAGTGCCACTCGCACGACAACAAGGTATTTCTTTTTTAAATTTCCTTAATTTAATAGGACATTGTCACCGCACTGATTTTCCAGTTGAACATTTCGCACCGCTTTGGCCGGCGATCTGTGACACTCTCGAGAAGTTTCTTTTTACTCCGAAGTGAGTGTTGCGTTCTGACCTGTTTGGTTTTGCAAAAATTGTTTATACATATTTCTTACGATTCTTTTTAGTTACTCTCATGGTTCTCTTTCACCACTGACGCTTTGCAAAATAGCTAATCTGTGGCTCTTATAATCTTAAATAACTTCAGTGTTTGTCCAAGGCTAGCGGCAGATGAGCGTAAGAGAGACGAGTTAGCTGAGTGTCAACTTGTCGAGTTGGTACGATCGGAGCTTCTGCTGCACTCAGCCTGCCTTCCTCCTGCGACGGTTCAGCGATTGATTGCCATATTGAACCGAGGATCAATTAGTCAATTGGATCCTACAGACGTTTTGGGTTCGCACTTTTATATATGTAGAAATGAGAAGTTCAAAAGTTTCTCTCGACATAAATTCTGCTTATTTTCCAACCGTTGGCAGCCATACTGTCACAAATTCACATATCGTAGGCGGGAAAACTGTGTAGTTTTTGAGCGTAAGTGAGAACGTATCCTTAGGAAATTTGTTTCCAGCTTCAGACTCGCATGCGCAGCGAGTTGAGCTGGCCCGTACCTGCTTCGACGCCCTGCTTTCAACTTCAAACGAAGGCAATGGACGACTTGGAAACGTGGCCATCGCGAGCTTATTACAAAGGTGTTCCCAGGTATCGTCACATTTCATAGAAAGTTCTTACACTACCATATCTTATACTATACCTTATACTTAGGCATTTTGAGAAAGCTATAGATTTCTGCCAGGAATATTCAACTTTTTTCTCATTGTACTGCGGAGTTAAATGAGGTGTTGAGAACATGCCATTTATGTCCATAGCAATTTCTAATTTTTGCAATGCGGTATCACAGTTGCATCAGAAGTTGTGGCTGTTTACAGCGAAGTATGATCGAACACTGTGCTTAATACAGTATCCGGCTATTTTTCGCTGTCACTTTCATAATCCTCTTCACTTGCTCGGCCTTACCTAGAGTATTTGTGGTCAGGCGACTCGCCCACAGTTTTGCAGTGAGCCTTCCTCGCCATTGTTCTCCTTTTACCTTGGTTGTCCAGTGAACAGTAGGCTTAAGGGACCGAGGATCATATGCGTTGTTGCGATGTGCTAAAGAAACAGCCTGAAGTACGGCAGAACGATCAGGCGGTCGCTTCTTTTCACGCTGATGCTATTGCGCCGTTGCTAGCTCCATCGTCCACCATTTCTGATCTCATGCGCCGCAAAATCTGTATTGTCGCATCGACTGAAAAGAATGTCCTGAACTTTCGAATGCCTCTTGTACGTCGATTCGATTTGAAGACCGTTTCGGCCGAATTGATCCAGGCTGGTGCCAGAGTCCGCGATCCACTCTTCGCGATTTTCGCGATTTGCGCGATTTTCGCGATTTGCGCGATTTGTCGCGATTTTCGCGATTTGGCGCGATTTTTGCGACGGGTCACGAAATTATTAGGTTGGAAAGAAAGTCCTGCAACACTTTTTCAAATTTTTGATTTTAATTTTATCTTTTTTGGTTACAACTCCTGACCGGTCTTATATCTACCATGAGTGTCCACCACTTGTCTCCATCGCTCAGAAAATTTCTTGATCCTCCTCCCAAAACCCAGCGGAGTGCGAGTCGAGAAAGGAGGCGACCTCACTTTCGAGTTGGAGTTGATCGTCTGATTATTTCGTTATAAAGATGATGATTAAAGGTCCAGGATAGGTAGCACTTATTTACAGCTCGACCAGGGGATTACGCTAAGAGAGGAAAGAAATCTTGCCGCAACTCCAGAATTTCTTACCGGGCTCATTTCGGATCATGGTGATTCGCAATGTCATGAAAGAAATGAATATTGTCGCGGTACGAGGGCTCTTGACGAGCTACCTCGGCCAGCTTCTGGTACTTCCACAACCTAGGCCACTGCCTACACAATGGTGCCCATAACGAAGGGTATGTAGTGGAGCTTCTGTAAGAGCCCTACCTGTAATGGAGTGTGAGGGATGCTGCTGGCTTCTTATAAAATATCAAAAGATCGGAAGCGCTGGTAAAGGTGAAACACGCTGTATCGCTGAACGGCATGCCATTAGAAGCTATTGCAGATAGTGTCAGTCGTTGACACGAATCCATGGTTTTGTAGACATTTGTACTAGACAGTGACTCGGAGTACGGATTTGCTAGTGGTCGAGATTTTTTGAATTTTCTTGGATAACTACTGACTGCAGAACTTATATCCACCTCGTGGATTGAAGCCTTGAGAATGCTCTATCATTTGGTAGTCATAAATGTTACCTATGAATTTTTCAGAAAAAAAGAAAATTTTGGAAAGAGTGTTGCAGAACTTTCTTTCCAACCTAATACAAGTGCCCCATCCATACTGCAAGGTGTTCTCCAATCCCGCCGTCACTTCTGCTTGATGGTTATGGTTTAATGGAGACTGCTCATGATTCCACTTGTTTCATATCCAGTGTTTCAATTGTTCAAATGGGGCACTTGCAATTTTTGTGATTGGTTTGGTTTGATTCCTGAAAAAAATAGGAACGATTCAAGAGCATTTCAATGAAATACACTTTGAACTAATAGACATTGAACATGAAACAAGTAGAACCACAAACATTCGTCTTCCAATCTTTACTGCCAAGCAGAATTCGCAGCAGGATTAAACAACACCTCGCAGTATTCATCGGGCACTTCCAACTCCTGTGATCCATCGCAGGTTTCGCGAAAATCGCGAAAATCGCGCAAATCGCGAAAATCGCGAAAAAGGATCGCGGACTCTGACATCAGCCTAAGAAAGCATCACACAGGAAGTTTAGGAACCCTGTGATTTTGATCATATTTTGCGCGTTCGAGCCTCTCAATTGATTATATGGGCCTTATCACATTAAAGGGCGCAAGTGGTGTTGGGGCAAGTGGCGTTGCTTACCACACGCACGATGACCTGGACGGCGTATGATCAAGTCCTAGATCGTGCGTCGTTCAAGTAAACTAAGCCTTCAACCGTAACGGTCGGTGCCATGCTTTGGGGGATGAAACGAAAACACTGACTTGTTCATGGCCCTCACTATTCATTGTATGGGCCAAATCACACTCAAAAACACCGCTACGATTCTGATTAGAAGAGAATGGGTGGCTCATACCGAATCCCTTTTCACTTGACGGTACCGGCTGAATTACGATCAGATAGATGTAACAGTCCGCTGCTCTCTGTAGTGAGCGTCTTTTGAAGGTTAACGGTTGACGACGGCGTAGGCTTGGAATGCGAGAAGTGCCCGTAAGTGCTTCGGATCAGCCAGCCAGCATATAGCATATGAGCAAACTTGGAAAGTTATATTAATAAAATATGAAGTTCGAATAAATAGGAATAAATTAATAAATCTCTGACAATTTTGTAGCGCCAGCTGCACAGTCATTTTGTGCAAAAGTTTTTCACCAAGAATTGTTCAGGTTATGAACGATTTCGTCCGAGATTGGAATGGTATAGGCGACTTGCGGCTACCACGTGGTCGCATCACGGAAATCACATCTGCGTTACAAGCGGTGGATTCTTTGATTGGACGATTAGCCAGGTGTGTTTGCAGTAGCTCTTTCTCCGTTGCTGTTTCTGGTGCTGCAAGTGTCATCCTTCGTGCGTTGTTTCGAATTTTGATCCTTCCAGGGACTTTTAAAGAGCTTCCAAGAACTTTTAAATGGAATTCTAATAGAGTCTCTTCTGGGTCCACTCTTTCTTTCATTCAGCAGATGCTTCCCTTTGGCATTTAAAAAGCTTTTTTATAGAGAACCGTCCCAGACTGATTTGTATTCTCAACTGGTATCTCTATATCCAAGCGTTGTCGATGTCGTTGGATGCACTCGATCAGACCCTCTACTGGAATCACAACTCATCGCCACTCTGAAGTCTTATCAGACCCTGCTTCTGCTACAGGCGGTCCCAAAACTTCTGAATAAGGAGAGCTAGCGCAATACCTTAGTCTTATTAAGTGATTGTTGAGAATTTCATTCATAACCTTGCCAAATGTAATTGAAGAATATCGCATATAATATATGTAATTGGGCCCAGACCCGTAGCACTTCTGAATACTGCCCACCTGTACGATTTACCAATGCGGCCATGTGTGCACCGACTTGAGGCGCGCGATGTTGCGCGCGCGGAAAATTGCCACGCGACTGCGCGCGTCTCATGCTGGCGTGCCTTGTTGACATGACTACCTGGTGGAAGTTAACATTTGCATTGCAAAATTCTATCGCATGTATATCCTAAATTTTTATTGATATTTCCTAGTACTTGTTTTCAAGATGGTGATATTTGTTGCATATTTATTGTTGTAGACTGGAGTACTATACCGGTGCTTTTTGTTGGATTCTAATTTCTAATTTTTGTTCTATTCTATCATCTACAACCGTATCAAATTAACTCGGACAGCCTCGAACATAGAGAAGCTGGGTTGGACGTTTTTTTTTCCGCGTCTGTCGTTCTGCCTCTGTGTTCAAGCTGTCCGAATTTGTTTGATAGGTGAATATTTCATCATGCACCTTTCTGTCTTCGATAATTTTATAACAACGAATTCAAGCAAATCGTTTGTGATCGCCTTAACATTCCTCATACTTAAGCGATTTGCTATTTTCTTTACTTCTGTGTATAGTAAATATTGTGGATAAATATGGTTCTACGACAACTAATCAAGATGCATTATTGATTGGAGAGCTGCCGCGATGTTTTTCTTATACATTTTAAAAATGGATTTGTTGGAAAAGCTTGCGTTTTCGGTTTATGAGTGATGGGTGGCTGTTTCGGCTTGCGAGACCTTCGCTGTATACGGTTGAGGGTCAGCCTGAAAGAATCGTCTCGGGGAGGCTATTGATCCTCTCGGGTCACGAAGTGGAAGGTAGGGTTACTTAGCCTCAGTCACTAGTGGTAAGTATAGTGACACGTTAGAGGGCAGACGAGCAGGACACATGAAGCAGACAGTGCAAGCATTGCAATACCCAATAATTTTCAGAAACTGCTGATCTGGCTGTTCTACAGGATCCAGAAGAAATAGTTTCTGTACTGCTGAGTAGGTCCGGTCCATGGAGCGTGGTTTATTATAGGGTAAGTAAATGGTATACTGTAACCAAGGTAGCAATACTACCGTAACGGAGTAACCAATGATAGCGGCAGTATTACGGTAGTGCTACGGTACCTTATTCATGGCCGATGTTATAGTTTGCGAGCGATTCGC